GGGCTCGAACTCCCGGACCGCGAGATCGTGACCTGGCTGAAGTCGGACGCTTAACCGACTGCACCACCCAGGCGCCCCAAAATTCTTAACAGTTATTATTAGGGACAGTATCTCGACTGGAAGACATTTTATATTTGGGATGGAGATATAACCTGGGCCATGAAAGACATGAGTGAATTAAAACTAAAGAATCCCTCCTTCAAGTAACATGAAAAACATTTTTAAAAATCTACTCTAAGAGTCAAGCTCCATAAAATCATTTAAAGAATTTGAGGATAAGGAACCTAAAATTTTCTGAGGAAAACTGAGTTTAAATTGCAAACTGAACTTTTAGGATCATAAAATACGGGTTTAGGCAAACTGAGAATTGAAAGGGGCGCCTGGATGACTCAGTTGGTTAAGCATCCAACTTCGGCTCAGGTCATGATCTCATGGTTCGTGAGTTCAGGCCCCACATCTGGTTCTGTGCTGACAGCTCAGAGCCTGGAGCCTGCTACGGATTCTGTGTCTCCCTCTTTCTCTGCCCCTCCCCTGCTTGTGCTCTGTCTGTCTCTCAAAAATAAATAAAAACATTAAAACAAATTTTTTTAATTAAAAAAATTTGAATTTTTCCTCCCCAAGACATTATCATCCTCATCTTCCTCGTGACATTTGACACTGATCATCTCATTTCTAGTAGTGCTCGCCATCATGACATAGGGCACCTGGGTGGCTGAGTCGGTTGAGCGTCCAACTTCGGCTCAGGTCATGATCTCGTGGTCCATGAGTTCGAGCCCCGCATCAGGCTCTGTGCTGACAGCTCAGAGCCTGGAGCCTGCTCCGGATTCTGTGTCTCCCTCTTTCTCTCTCCCCTCCCCCGTTCATGCTCTGTCTCTCTCTGTGTCAAAAATAAACATTAAAAAATTAAAAAAAAAAAAAGAGTCAAAGTTCCATGGATACCTCCCCCAAAATGTAATTCTTTAATTAAAAATGTATACCCCTGAATTGGTGGAGAGCAATACTGAGAACCAAACGGTACCCAGTAAAAAACAGAAAGTAAGAGATTTCCACGCACACAGATGACTGTGGCTGATGGCACGGAGGCAGGAAGGGAAAGACCGTGAGGTCCCCTTTGACCCTTGTAACCTGAGTTAATCAGCAGCTCTGGAAACACTGCGGCAGTTTTGATTCTGGGGCCCGGGGAAGCTGCTGATCTCATGTATTTTTGAGTAGAAAATAAGAAAACAGGAGCACTCCTGGTTTGGGAGAACTCCTGGCTGGGGAAGGGTTACTCTATTGCCAGCTCCAAGGAAGATGAGGGGAGGCGCGGGGCTGTGCGTCTGGTGCGTTTGTAGGAGCACAGAGTTGCACACATCACGCTCACAATAACGTTAACCGTTTTTACAGGAGTGCCGGTGATTCATTTGTTCTAACACCTACTTCGTGTTTGACGACAGCAGTGTTAACACGTGAGATCTTTATTACATAAGCTCTGCATCAGACCATCTTCAAATTCAAAGGAACCTGTGAATGGTTCAAGCTGCAGATTATGTCCCATTAGTGGGTCATGAAGTACAGGATATATAATACAAGAGTATATAGAATATATTGTTCCATGGCATTTTTGCTCACAGTTTTAGACACTTACATATGTTATATATATGTGCACACATATATGCTCATGTATGTAGAACTGAACTACATAAACATCAACAAATTCTGATAACATGAACCCTCCAGGAGGTGCATGAATATCATCTTCAGTCTTCTAATAATAATAATAATAATAATGATAATAATATGATAGATGTCACTGGTTGAGCACTCCTGTGTGTCAGCTACTGTTTCCAAGCTCTTCTCATGCAGTAATTGTTACTCTCCTCCTAAGCCTAGGAGATCGGTAGTACCACCGCCTACATCTTACAGATAAGAACACCAAAACACACAGAGGGTAAGTAACTTGGAACAGACCTCACAAGCAAGCAGCAGAACCAGGATCTGACCCCGGACAACCTGACTGTGGAGACGAGCTCCCCGTGGCCTCTATCTGAAAAACCAAGACCGCAGGGAACTCACGTCCTCCTAAGACCACCAATTCCACTGTCCGGTCTCCTGGAAGGTTAGCAGAGTCAGTTCGGGAATGCAGAGCTCCTAATTTCCAATCCTACGCTCTCCCTAGACCTCAGGCAGCAGTATTCTTAGTAAAAGATGCTTTGTGAAGTTGAAATCAAACAGGCTCAAAATAAATAAAAGATATAGACGAGCATACTTGAAAGAGAAGAGAACATATTTATTTACATCACTGCTTCCTTTTTACAACTCCTACACTTTTAAATAATAAAATTTTCCAGGAAATCTGGTAAGTTTTAAATTAAGATATTTTAACAGAAGAAAATTTCCACAATATGATTTTTATTTACATGAATTTCCAAGAGTTTTAAATTGTTCCTTTTGAAACGGCCCAATATAACTAAAGCTCTCATTTAGACCTTGTATCTTTTTCAAAAATGGTTTGCTTAAGAAATTCATCTTATAATCACATCCTTATAGTTTAGATCCTGACAGACAAAAATCTTGTTAACACACTTACAAATACAAACCTGTTTCATAACTGATCCACATTTGGGCTACAAGCTCAACCTATTTCACATGTTTTGGTGCCAAGCAAAGATTTTTTTTTTTTTTTTTAGACAGCTTTTAAATTGCTTTGATTAAAACTTTCTGGAAGTTTTCTGGATCAGTCATACAGCTGCTTATGAGTTTATATGTATGTATTCTCAGCACACATCCAGTCGGTGAGGATGGGCGTATCTCCAGTTCAGTCAACTCTCAAAGTGACTCACGGGGATTCAGAACTTTGCTGGGGCAGATACTAGGGCATTTTCCTCTCCTTGGCCACTCGTATTTGGGATGCTTACGTTTCCTCCAATATTGCACATGCAAATCACTTACTTTTAAGAGAACTTACTATTCATAAAATGGCTTCTAACAATAACAACGGTCTGACATCCTTCCATGTCGCACTGAGAGATTTCAAATATTTATTAGTGAAACTAGAAGAGAGGATAGATTTTCCTAATATTTTAAGCATGAGTTCCTCCGAACAGTTGGTATAACATCCATCAAAAAATAGAAAAGATTAACTTTACCATGATCAAAGATATAGTTCACAATGAAAAACATACAGTTCTGGACACCTTCTCTGTAAGAACGACCGACGGCCAGTCTTGAGCATCATGCCGCGGCAATAGAGGCATCATCCATGAGTCGACCCTGTGGCTTTAAAGTGGGAAAACAAAACAGGTTTACAACACAGTAACAACAAAAGCTCTATGAATTGAAAAGATTCTGAAATTCTTGGAACTGTGTCCCAAAAACAGAATAAAGTGTACAAGTATCAGAATCACATTGTTTTTCTCCTTCTCCCACCCCAGTCTCTCTGCACTTGAACCTGGGGATGGCCGACTGCAAGCCTAGGTGCTCCCCCCTCGTTCCCTCTGACACCACAGATGTCACCCGCTGGCCACACACGCCCACCTGCCAAATCCGCCACAGGCACTGTTTCTCTTCACCTTGTTTTCTAGCAGCTACTCTATCACCGGGAGTGGGTGAGAGGGAACCTAGTTACCATTCCCACTTAAGTGGTAGCTTTATTCTCTCTTGCTCAGGGCCCTCCTGCACCTCAAGCTTTACGCAGGCGACAAACCTGAGCTGACAGACAAGTTCTTGGGGATTCAAGGTCTCCCAGTCTCCTGTCTGAGAAAGAGCAATCCGCGATGAACTACGGTGTCTAACAATGAATAGTGCAAGGATAGAAGCAGTAGATGAAAACAAAAATTTCCCCTTCCCCAAGGTCACTGGAAAAACTTAAACCATCACATGAGCAGAGTAAAGGCTAAGCAGGAAGAAAAGGTACTGTAACTGTACTTAGGGTATCAAACTTCTGACAGGTTAGCAACACCTCAGGGTGTCATCAAGTAACTGACAAAATGAAACATTTTTAAAAAAAAATGCTTATTTGTTTTGAGAGAGAGAGAGAGAGAGAATGAGCAGACTCCACACTGTCAGCACAGAGCTTAACTTGGGGCTTGAATTCACAAACTGTGAGATCGTGTCCTGAGCCGAAATCAAGAGTCAGACGCTTAACCGACTGACTCTTAGCCCCCAAAATGAAATTCTTGCAAATAATTTGATCAAGCAGATGTATGTCAGCAGACCTTTGTGGTAATGCACGACAGAGATGGCATTCAAGACATCAAACAGAACAGTGTGATAATGTCATCACCAAAAGCCATTTACTATGCTTTATGCAGAATGATCCCCAGGGGACTCCCTGAGGTAAGGAAGGGAGCACTCCTGTCTTCGGTTTTGTTGCTGTGCATTTTATGCACGTATGTGTGTGTGTATGTGTGCATGTGTGTGCGTATATGTACATGTGTGCTTGTATAAGTTAGGCCTCTGACATCTGAGGCAGGAACAGAAGGAATGAAAGCATAGGTGCTGGTCTTTTATACATCATGTCATCTTTAGTACTGACAGAGGATGTTCAGTTTTAGAAAAAGAATAATGGCTCAACGTGGCTAAATCCTTATGAAACACAGCTTTACAAACAGAAACAGAAGACAAGAACGTCATGCAATGAGAAGACTGGAATGTACTTTTCAAAGGAAGAAAAATATTCATCCAGCTTTGAAGGAGGTAAGCGCTGTCCAAAAGAACTTTCTGTGATGATGGAAATGCTCTGTGTCAGTGCTGTCCAACATGGTAGCCACCAGAACACTGACTTCCTGAGCACTTCAAGGGGGGCTGGTGCAACTACTTTTTAAAGTAAATTAAATTATAATTAATTTTAATTTAAATCTTGACAGGGCACACGTGGCCAGTGGCTGTCATACTGAACAGCACGGCGCTCAAGTTTAGCAAAGATGTGAAGGGATGTACAGCGCGAGTAAGACTGTTCGCTAAGTGGGAAAAGGGAAACCCTTAGTCACTGTCCTTAGTGTGACAAGTAAAACAACTGTAGTTCTGACTCTCCCTGATAAAGGAGCTGGCTCTGAGGATCCCAGCCAACTTTTCTGGCAGTAGTCAAGCTACTAGAAGGTAGTATGTGGATTTAGAAAAAAGAGCATGGCAGTTCAAAAGGGCACGTTAGTTACGTTAAACCTTGCAAATGTTTATTGTTCTGGAACCTTTCCTTAGATTAAAGGACTACCCAGAAGAGGTTTACTGTGGAAGAAAATGAGAAGACTGAACCAGCAGGAGCTGGGACTGGGTGGGGTGTAGGGAGCCCCACAGGGAAAGGAATGGAGGAGATTAATTGGTGGACCTGAAATCCTGATTCCTCAGATCAATCCACTCTCACACCTCAAACAGGCTGTGTTTGTGCACCTCTGTCTACGTTGATACACGCTCTCACGCTAATTAAGCTGCACTTCTGAGTTTGGGAACGGCAGACCTCAGAAGGTCAACGGCGAAAAGGACATCAGAGGCCATCACTTCCCCAGTGCTCCCCACCCCTGTCATGAGATTTTTTTCCCCACGAGGTGACCTCAGACATGGCAGGGAGGAAGAGCAACAGACATAGCTTCAGAATGTGAATGGGCAGAGATGTTAAAAAAGCCACTGCTGGGGCGCCTGGGTGGCGCAGTCGGTTAAGCGTCCGACTTCAGCCAGGTCACGATCTCGCGGTCTGTGAGTTCGAGCCCCGCGTCAGGCTCTGGGCTGATGGCTCAGAGCCTGGAGCCTGTTTCCGATTCTGTGTCTCCCTCTCTCTCTGCCCCTCCCCCGTTCATGCTCTGTCTCTCTCTGTCCCAAAAATAAATAAAAACGTTAAAAAAAAAAAATTTTTAAAAAGCCACTGCTATTGGGGGGGTGGGGAGCACAGGGGGTGAACAGGAAACCTCTGTACTTTCCACTCAATTTTACTCTGAACTTAAAACTGCTCAAAAAAAACCCAATAATAAAGTCTCTTAAAAAGCTACTTTTTTTAAACACAGATCTAGAATTATGAGATTTTTCTTTTATAGTTTAAAAGTATGGTGCTTAGGGCACACCTGGATGGCTCAGTCGGTTAAGCGTCCAATTTCAGCTCAGGTCATGATCTCGCGGTTCATGGGTTTGAGCCCCGCATCGGGGTCTGTGCTGACAACTCAGAGCCTGGAGCCTGCTTTAGATTCTCTGTATGTCTCTCTCTCTCTCCAAAATAAATAAGCATTAAAAAAAAAAGTGTTTTTTTTAATCAAAGTATGGTGCTTGGAAACATTAATAAGTTCTTTTTTTGCAAATGTAAATAAGAAGTAGTGTAAGTCTGGAAAGATAAAAGCTAGGAAGATTATGAAGGCTACATTAATACAGAGTAATGTAAAATGTACCCAATCCCAGATTATATAAAGAAGGGACAGTTCCTCCAAACTTTTATATCTGAGTGACTGAGGAAACTACAACCACCTGGAGGGAAGCCTTAATTTTAGGCATCGAGAACGGCTTCACTGGAGGTGAGCACTGTGCTAAACAAACCACCTGTGTGGCCCGATTCACTCCTTCCCACACTGACCACGACCATCCTACACATTCCTTTACTGCAGGAACCTGGAAATGGTACCAGTGTAAAAAAAAATCAAAACATTAAACCAGACTACAGTTTCCAACACAGGACCATTTTCAGAAAAGACCCCAATCCAGTATTACATAGAGAGTCAGGAAAGCCCAAGGGTCATATTTAGAAAGTTAATCCATTTTGATTAAAAATTAGTTATAAACTAACCACAACTTAAAAATATGCTTTACTGGGGCGCCTGGGTGGCGCAGTCGGTTAAGCGTCCGACTTCAGCCAGGTCACGATCTCGCGGTCCGTGAGTTCGAGCCCCGCATCAGGCTCTGGGCTGATGGCTCAGAGCCTGGAGCCTGTTTCTGATTCTGTGTCTCCCTCTCTCTCTGCTCCTCCCCCGTTCATGCTCTGTCTCTCTCTGTCCCAAAAATAAATAAACGTTGAAAAAAAAAAAATTTAAAAAAAAAAAAAAATATGCTTTACTTATAAGCCAAAGAGAAAAACCTGTCTAAGGATACTGTAAAGGTAAATCATTTTTACCTGAGGGAATAAAAACCTTGGAAATTAGATTCTGTAAAATAATAGCAACTTTACAGAAACGAAAAGCAATACTGCCAAATTCATATGATACACGTCAAAACTATCAGTTAGTCATGGGACGCTTGGGTGGCTCAGTCGGTTAAGCGCCCGACTTTGGCTCAGGTCATGATCTCGTGGTCCGTGAGTTCGAGCCCCGCATCAGGCTCTGTGCTGACAGCTCAGAGCCTGGAGCCTGTTTCGGATTCTGTGTCTCCCTCTCTCTCTGACCCTCCCCTGTTCATGCTCTGTCTCTCTCTGTCTCAAAAATAAATACACGTTAAAAAACAAAACAAAACAAAAAAAAACTATCAGTCTCAAAATATCGTTGAGAAGCTTACATGAAAAGCCACCTTTGGTTTGTGTTCCAGACAGGAGATTTAGAAGTCCTAAGACTTACCTTTACAAAAATACTGGTAGGTATAAAACGCCTGAGCAGCTGATTTGTGAAGTGAGGAAATCTAAGCAGATTGACGTGGAGAGATGGCAGTTGTTGGTATCCGGCCATTAGAGGATAGAAATTATATAACATTTCCTGTTTGGTGCCCGGGAGGATACGCAGTCGAATCTACATCATAACAAATGGTAGAGAAAGATAATCAGTATATACACTTACAGCATCTTCATGGTATCACCCCTTAGTTATTTAGAAATCACTGGACACCCACATCTTTCTGGTGAAATGTGCTGTCTCTCCTATTCCACTTTCCAGACAGATGCTACTAATAGGGCTGAATTAGGATGAGACTAGGACCACACACATAATAAATATGCAAAAAATACATGCGTGATCATCTCAGCTTCTACAGTTTCTACCAAGATCTAAATGGCAATTTGTACCAGCTTAAAAAGGGGAACGCTAGATGGACTGACATTTTCTATGTCTCGACCATGTAGATTTTATAGTCACTTATGCCATGAGATAATTTGTAGGAAAGTATCTTTGTAAATACTATGTCAACAGAAGGCAAGCTAGTTGTTTCTGGTGTTTTCGAGATTTTATCTTTGTAGTGAGGTAAATACTATCGGGAAAAAAAGATGTTTGGAAAATTTTAGTGATACTTTAGAAAAGATCACAAAGGTAAGATTTTGGTATCGTGCATTATTTATTTGTAAGTCAGTATGTGAAAAGGATCAGGACACTCAAGAAAAGCTTACGCATTTGCAAATGAGTACATACGTTATACACGTGTCAAAGATAACGTGTGTGTACCCAACACAGAACAGCTAATACGACATGTACTATATGTTATAAACTTAAATTAGTGTATGGACTTACAGTCTACTTCGTATAGAATTCTATTTTTTTTTAATGTTTTTATTTCTTTTTGAGAGACAGAGAGAGAAAGAGCACGAGCGGGGTAGGGGCAGAGAGAGGGAGACACAGAATCTGAAGCAGGCTCCAGGCTCTGAGCCTTCAGCACAGAGCCCGAGGCCGGGCTCGAACTCAAGGACCTGAGCCAAAGTCAGACGCTTAACCGACTGAGCCACCCAGGCACCCCAAGAATTCTATTTTACATTTCACAACAAACCTAGCACCCAGAATATGCACAGCAAAAATGACTAGTCAAGGTAGACACTTCTAAGTATTATGACATGTTTGTTCCTCTAATTATGCCCTTGTTAACAAAAAGTATTTACTGACTCTTGAGGGGCGTCTATTATCAACTTTGACAGAAAACAGTATTCTCATGGAAACTGGTTTTGCCTGAAAGTGTATGTTCCACTCAAAAAATGTGGAGTCCACCTCTGATTTGAATGGGTGAATCAAAACACCTGAATAATTTATTTTTATGTGTAAATATAAAATTATGTCTAAATGCGCCAAAGATAAGTAAATTCTATGCAAGGTTAAAAATCTCTAAAAAATTTCACTGATAGTTCAGAAGAGAATCGGGCTTTTTTTTTTTTTTTTTTTTTAATTTTAATTTTAATAGGACCCATGCCCAGTGTGGGCTTGAACTCATGACCCCAAGATTAAGTATCACATGCTTTACAAACTGAGCCTGCCAGGCGCCCCAGAGAATCAGGCTTTTAATATGGGTAGTCAGGTTTCTAGGCCTCAAGTTAAAAGACAAACACAGACACACAGACACACACACAATGGTAATAAAAGGGAAATCTAAAATTTTCAGAAAGTCTATTATACTCTGAGGATTTGTGCATTCTCGTTTTACAGAAAGAAAGAACTTATATGTATGATCTCTGTGTGAAAAGGGTTGTCCACTTAATCCGCTGCTACACAAATTGTACTTAATATTTAAAGGTGATGAAAAATTTCCTATTATCAAAATAACAGGGACCATAATCAGCCTTATCAGTTCATTTGTAAAAACTAAGTACATAGCTCTCCATTTCCTGGCCACACCTCTGTGTCTACACAAACAGCCCAATGCGATAGGCCCTATACCTGTTTAAGTCCAGAGAACATGAAGGCATCACTGGGCTCCACAGAAATCTCCACGTCTTGAACTAAGTTAGTCTTGTTCTGTAGGTGATACTTGACAGGTAAGGATTCTCTGACACGCCCAAACGATGGCAGATCTGCAGAGAAAGACGACACATTTCTCTTGGTTAAAGAAAACGGTGTACCATTTATGAGTTCTTCTTGTAAATGAATCTCATTCTGTAGACATGAGGTTATTTAAATTAGTGCTTATACTGCACTCTTGCTAAAGAAGCACATTCTTGGACTGGACAACAGCCATGGGACTGTGATAAAACAGGCTAAACAGAATCAAGTCTCCTTCTAAAGCTGAATGACTTAGAAAGGGTCTTGGCTGTCAGGAACTGAATTATACTTTAGGAATAATTTTTTGAATCTATAAAACATGTCCCTAACTATCCATCATGGTTCAAGAAGAATAACAGGCATCATGTGCCTCTTGATGAGCGCACATACCATTAACTATGAAGTATTCTTGCCAAAAACTTGAACCTGAATCTGATCAAGACAACAGATGTAACCACCAACTTACAGGGACACTTAAAAATGATACAATGCAATCAGCAAAACCCAGACTGTGGGACGCTCTACAGGACAACTAACTCCATTTCTTCAATAAATAGCAAGGAAGAGGTGGGGGAGGGGGGTGGTGCAGGAGGTGAGGGAGTGGGGAGGGAGTCTGCCCGCCCAGAGATTTCAAAAGTATGAGACATCCACCAGCTGCAGTGATGAGACCTTAAAACAATAAAGAACATTCAAAGTCAACTAGGGAAACTGCGACACTGGAATTTGGCAATTAATATTAAGGAATTATTGCTAATTTTTAAGATGATGACAATAGAATTGTGATGATGTTTAGAAAAATAGCCACTAATACAGAAATACTGATAGATGAAATAATATCTGGGATTTGCTTTAAAATAAGGCAGGAGGAGGAGCTTGAGGTACAGATGAAACAAGACTGATCATAATCTACTTCTATAAACGTTGGGCATTTTTTGTAATAAAAGTAGTTTTAAATCTTAGAAGCTAAAATAAGTATTCTCACTGGATTCTTTTTACCAAGTACAAGTTGGTGCCGTTACCTGCATTCACATGGAGGGGAATGTTTTCTACGATCACGTGTGGCAGAGTGATGGCAGTACTGATGACAGGGACGTTTCCCATGGCGGAGGTCCTGTGACAGAAAAGGGAATCTTTCAAATCCGCATTTTACGTGAAACGTGGAATCAAAAACAGGCCACGTGTATACTCACAAACTTGTTTCAAAGGAAACAGAAAGGGCTTAAACATCTCCTAAAACTTTATTCCTGGAAGTGGTTTAGTGAAGAAAAGGCTTTTAGAATCCCGTTTGGGTTCTGAATGTTTCCAATGAATCGATGGTATAACCCAGGGCTGCTGTTTGGTCCAGGGGCCAGAATGTGAATCAGCCATACCATGAAACCCACCATTTAACACAGGGCGTGGTAGCAGAGCGCTCAGCGTGGGTGGGAGCGCGCGGACTGACCTTATGACACAGACCTTCTCCGCCTGTGGCCAGTTCGAGGCCAAGCACCAGACCACTTCCAAGTGTACCGTCCTAGCTACACCCAAAGTACAGAATAGAAACCAAAGAACAAAAAGTATTTTACTACCAATAAAAAAGCAGCATTCTGACATCACGGAGATAAAGTGAGTAACATTATGAAACTGTCAAATATCTTCCCCTGTGTCACAGTTAGGACGGGAACCACAGGGCGGCTGGCTGACTCCCGAGAACTGGCCTTGGGGAGAGTCTGGATCAAGATGTGGAACAGCTGACACTGGGTGCAAATTATTACACCACAAAAGCCCCAGGCGAACACATCTAACCCCTCTTCATTAGTAGGTCTTTATGGTATTACAGTAACGTGATGGGATGAGTAAGCAGTGCCTTCAAATTCCTATTTTAATTCCTGTAAACATAAATTAAACTAAACTTCGATGTGGTAAATTCAGAAGTGGGAGAAAGAAAGATCTTAGCTTTTTAAAAAAAATAAGTCCATGATTTTTCCTTTCTCGTTTTTCATGTCTCATTCGCAGTTTTTAAATTTATGAAAAAATTGAGCCAAGAAATTCACACATGAAATATCACATATCTACCTCCCAGCCTAAGAAAACATCACAATATAGTTGAACCTCCCCACGTGCCCCTTCCTGCTTGCACCTGTGCCCTAGAAGTACTAACTTGGGAGTCATCATTGCTACGTATTTCTTTATAGTTTTTGAAATTATGAAGGTAGCCCTAAGAAATGTGCAGTGTTTTACATGTTTCCCAATATTACATACATGCAATTTGTTCATATTTTCAACATTTGCAGTTGCTTTGTTCCCTTAATACTAATGGTTAACAGGAGCAGCTCTGGTTCATCGATTTTCACTGATACATAGCATTCTGTTCTATGACCATGCCATAGTTTGTCCATTTTCCTGTTGATGGATATTTAGTTTGTAACTTTTTACTACTATAATCAGAGGTGCTATGAACATTCTTACATATATCTTTGTGTACTTGTTTGAGACCTTTTCTATGAGGGATATAGATATCTTCAGTTTCACCTAGCCCTGCTGAATGGATTTCCAAAGTAACTGTTCTATTTTATACTCTACCTTTTTTGACAAACTTTGCATTGTTAACCCCTTTTATTTTTCCAAATTAGTGGCAGCACATTTTCTCCCTATGTTTCCTGGCCATCTGGCCTCTTCTGTTTCTCTTAACACCGCATACTCAAGATTTTGCTCAACTTTCTGTTAGGAGACTTGGTTTTCTTATGATTCGTATAAGTTCTTGATATGAATTCTAATGCTTTCTCAGTTTTCCATGTTGTAAATAGCTTTTCCCAATTTGTATTTTTATAGGTATTTTTTAATGAACTAAGAAGCTTAATTTTAACAAATCAAATTCATCAAGTTTAGAGGCTTACACTTTTTATGTCTTATTTAAAGAAACTCTTCCCTATTCCAAAGTCATAAAACAATTCTCTTATTTTCTACTAAAAGTAGTAACGTTTTGCTTTTCACAATTAGAATTTTAATATGCCTGGAATTAATTTTTATACACAGTGTAGAGATACAAGGATACCCAATTGTTTACCACCAATTACCAGATCTCCACTGATTTGCAATGCCACCTCCCTAAAACATAATTTTCATATGTGTGGATCTATTTCTAGACTCTCTCTTCTGTTCCACTGGCCTATTTACATATTCCCATTCCAATACCACAGCAATGACTGCTGTAGCTTTACCTTAAGTCTGGGAATTTAGAAGAGCCAAGTATCCTTGCTTATTAGTTTTTCTTCTGAAGTATCTCGACTATTTCTGAGTTTTTGCCTTTCCATATAAGCTTTAAAATCAACAGTGTCAAGCTCCGCAAAAACAAACTAAAACAAGCTATTGAGATCCTGAAGCAAATTGCAGTGACTTACAGAACAAACAATATCAGATCTTATCCAAATCCTACCCAAGACAATTATATGTATGTCCCATGTAGGGACTTCCTTTAATGTTTTAAAGTTTTATAATTTTCTCCATAATGGCAATACCCATTTTCTATTTGATATATTCTTACTTACCTTATAATTGTTGTTATCATCTAAATGATACCTGTTTTACAAGTATATTGCCTGGAGGTTTATTACTGATATATAGAAAGCCAACTGATTTTTGTATATTGATGTTATATCCAGCAACCTTGCTGGAACTCCTATAATGGAAATAATTTGTTGATTCCCTTGGGTTTTCTATGTAGACAATCCTATTGAATGCAAATAAGAACAGTTTCTCTTGATGTTTTTAATGGTCCTGTCATGAGAATTCGCTTGGTTAAAATTTCATCAGTATACAGGTCACAAATTGTGACAAATACAAATAAAAGTTTAATTATCCTTTTTAATCTTTGTGTTCTTGACAAACATTTAGTGATAGCATGTGACTTCTAGTCTTCTCTCCAGGACTGACAGAAGCTTTCAAATATTAAATGACAATGACAAATAATAAAGGCAGTAGAATAGGACAGAGAAGGAATAAGAGATAGGGCTGATTCACCTCTTCCAGGAGATAATATAATGACCAGTTGCTACTCCACCTTCAACATTTCCAACAGATGGGCACCGAAGACAAAAGCATTCACTAGCACTCTCTCCAGTCTGTAAGACAACTATAAGGAATAATCTTTATAATCCTATGCAACGATTTCCTCTATGAAAGGAGAGTTTTACCTTTAAGTAATATAACAAAAAAAGAATATCAGTTATACATTATTTGTAGAGACTTAAAAACTAAGGCTCAGAGATGTTAAATGACTTTCTCAAGGTCACAAAGTCCTATCCAGTGTTTTTTCTAATATATCAATATTCCATTATAATAAAACTCAGCAAAGCAGCTGTAGGTCTGTGACAAGATCCTATAGGAACTAATGACAGGGCAAAGTCTGGAGTTGGAATAATACCATTTGGTGATTATTTTTCTTTCTACAAATTATTTCATGTCTCTAAAGGAAACATTTCACAGTAGGGAAAAAGAAATTTTTAGTTAACCTTTTAGGTACTCAAAATGTCATTCCAGGCAACTCTGGCTTTCTCTGACAAACACATACTAGCGATACCATCAAATGGAAATACATTACATGTTGCCTCATTATTGCCTAATGTGGTGACTTACCTCTCATACAAGGCTGCTTTCCTCTTGCCAACTGTAGCCTAAACTCCTGACGCCAAGATAAAGGTTCGTCTGAACCAAGCCCTCCCTGCCATCAGCACCTCCCAGCCTGCAGTGCCTTCGATGCAAGCTGGCAACAGTGCCCATCTGAGGCTGACCTGGGCAAATCTGTGGGTGAAACTTTCAAACAGTAATAACAAGGTCTCTAAACATTAACTAATTGTTTTCATGGTTCTCTAATGAAGAAGGTTGTGATAAATTACTAGTTACGATTGTGAGCAGATACTAGAAGTCAAAGGGGAAAATGCTGGGCCAATCTCTAACCACTTTTAAGTAATTTTTAAGGACTAGGAAATGATACTGTAGCCCAGTTAGTAAAACATACATCAATTTAAACCTCTTAAGATACCTTTTTTTTTTTTAATTCAGGATCCTTGCCCCGTTTTCTTTTCATTTTTTTAAAGTTTATTTGAGAGAGAGAGAGAGAGAGATAGAGAGAGAACGGGGGAAAGGCAGAGAAAAAGAGAAGAGAGAATCCTAAGCAGTCTCCACGCTGTCAACACAGAGCCCAACATGGGGCTTGATCCTGCGAACCGAGAGATCAAGACCTGAGCCAAAGCCAAGAGTCAGATGCTTAACTGACTGAGCCACTCAAGCGCCCCAAGATACCTTTTTTAAAAACCCAGGACATTCATATTGCTTCTCCCCAGCTCAAGCCTTCCTTAATTCTAAGAAGTTAACAAAAATGATCACAACGTTTATTAACAATTAACATTGGGGTCAACTTTATGACCTAGGAAAGTTGTTATCTTTAATGTGTCAAATACAAAGTTTGTAATGCATTAGTGCTGGTGTCCTTGGAGGTGGCAGAAAGAATAAAGCCATGCCACCCCCTCCCCAAAGATATCCACATCATAATTCCCAGAACTGTGAATGTGGTACCTTACACGGCAGAAAGGATTTTACAGATGTGATTAAGATAAGGATCTTAAAATAGGAAGATTATACTGGATTCTCCAATTGGGCCCAATGTAACCACAAGGGTTCTGAGGGAAAGTGGTAGGTAGGAGGAAATCTGAGGAAAAACATGTGACAATGGAAGCAGAGGTCAGAAGAAGAAACATCTGAAGATGCTACACTGCTGGTTTGGAAGGCGGAGGAAGGAACCATGAGCCAAGGAATCCAGATGGCCTCTGAATGCTGAAAAGGGCAGGAAAAGGGTGTTCCCCAGAGCCAGAAGGGATACATCACCAACACTTTGATTTTAGGACTTCTGACCTCTAGAACGTTAGGATAATAAATCTGTGTTGTTTTAAGCACTAACTTTGTGATAATGTGTTACAGCAGCAATAGGAAACGAGTAATGGGAAATTCAAGGTAGGTATTTTTTCATTCATTTAACAAACATTTATTAAGCAACTACTATGCAGCTGAGGCTGCCAATACAAAAAGGGGTAAGTCATGGCTCCTGCTCTAAAGGAGCACATAGTGTAGTAGGGGAGCCATAAGAGTAAGTAAACTATTACAATATAAGTGGATAAGTGTCATAACAGATGTAAAGAAACTCTGGGAGCAAAGAAAGAAGATTATCTAGTCCCGCTTAGGAAGATCAAAAAGCCAAAGCTTACATGAGACCGAAAGAGCAAACAAGAGTTGATCAGGTGGAAAGAAAAAGGAAAGGGTTTTGGACAGACGTACTAACATGTTCAAAACCATATGGAGGTAGTGTTTGCTGAATGTACAAATCTGGGCTTGGTCAAAGTCTGGGAAAGAGGAAGAAGAAGTAGGGAGCCTTGTACAGAAGAAGCTAGAAAGGGAAGCTTCCCAGGGAAAGGTCTGGTAGGTCGTGAGGTTTTCTAAGAAGGAAAAACAAGTTCAAAATTGCTTTTTGAGAAATCAATCTCTGGCAGCAATATGAAAGGCAGACTAGGGGAGAGAATGGCAAAGAGGAAAGCGGTTAAGAAGGTGTTTCTGAAGGCCAGATGAGAGATGGTGAGAATGGAGACAAGCTGGATTCGAGAGACGGGCAGAAGGGAGAACGTGGCGCCAGGATGGATGCGCACGTAAGAGGGAGTCTGGTCTGTTTCTGTGGTTTCTACCTGGGGCCAAGTATACACTGACTCCTCTCTCTGGACTGGGGACTGCGGGGAGCCTGAGGTTGCATGGCAGGTGAAGACTTGTAGAAAAAGTAAAACAAGCCAAAGTCAGGATCTTGGAAGCGACCCACATTTAAGGAGTAAGAAAAGGAATCAGCAAAGAATGGACAGATAGCCAGCTTGTGTTGAGCTGTGAGGAGACAAACGCCGGGCTGAGATACTTCATACAGACTACCTCATACACGCTATTTCACGTATGTTATCTTCTTTAACTCTGACAAGTGATGAAACAAAGTGAACCGTCCAACGTAACCTAAGAGCAGGCAGAAGGTCAGAGAATGGAATCTAGTTCAGCGTGACTCCACAGCTCGTGATCATTCCACGTTAGCCAGGGAGGAGAAAAGGAAGAAGTGTGGACAGAGAAACAAAGCAGAACCACAGACTGATTTCCAAAACCATGAGAGAAAACCAAGTTTCAAAAGATAAAAACAAAACTTATAAAGGCATTCTGAAAGCAAAATTGTTTTCTAGTATTATTACTTTACAGGACGTAGGACCTACTTGTAGCATTTAAATAAAGAGGTTTTTTAATCTATTTTATCTTTCCTCCTTTATGATGACTTTCCTAAAATGCACAGAAGTGACTATGAAGACTATGTCTCTTGTAGAGACAAACTCTTCTTGGCGTTTTCTTAAGAACCTAGCATGGGGCCAGATAGTGAACTTGATAAATACCTGTTGATTATTTATTGATAGATACTGAAACTTATTCACAGGCCGGATACAAAAAATATACTGGAATTCTGAAACTACTCATCTAATTTTAATCTGTATTGCAAATCAACTATATGACTTACGACACTGAACTCAAGTAGTAGATAGATAAACAGATACAGCAAATAAATGACTCATTTATATTTGATTTTAATCGTGGGGGTGGGGGGCGCCTGGGTGGCTCAGTCAGTCAAGCGTCCAACTCTTGGTTTCAGCTCAGGTCTTGATCTCACAGTTTGTAAGACTGAGCCCCACACTGGGCTCTATGCTGACAGCACAGAGTCTGCTTGGGATTCTCTCTCTCTCCCTCTCCCTCTGCCCCTCCTGCGAGCATGTGCTCTCTCTCTCAAAATAAATAAATAAACTTAAAAAAAAATACATCGTGATTTTTTTCATACAATCTTTATCCTTATCATAGAGCTGAGCACAATTTTGCTTGGGTTAACATTCAAACTAATTTTTTCTATTTTTCTCTAACAGCTCAAGAAGCATATAAGCCCAAGGTATAATGCACCAGAAAAGTAATATCCTGGGTTTAAATCTCTTCTCTAAACTATTTTAGTTGATTTAGAAAACTTACTGTCTGTGTTTCTATATTTTCCCAACTTTCTTTAATAACCATCTTTCACCATTTCAAATTATAAGATATGGTAAACATTAATTAAAAATCAGTAAGAAAAAACAATCTATAAAAAAATCCAAATATGAAAAAATACTATTTTATTTTCAAGTACATTTTTCTGAGTAACTTCCTTATAGTAGCAAAAATCTTATCTTTTAAAATAAGGTATACTCAAACAGGTGGTAACTGATACTAATTCTACTTTAATTCTAAATGTATTTACTTTTCTATCAAGTCTCAAAAAGCTAACTCTTACCTTGCTAGCCTACACACACACACACACACACCCCCCCCGGTCTTCTAATTAAGTGGGATGGTCCACATTCTCACCTTTGTCCACTTGGGACTCTAGCTGATCCACTGGGGTCATAGAAGGAGCAAGTTGTAGCTCACTGGATACAATAGTGAGGGCCCAAGGTGAGGCACTTAAGAGGTCCGTCATCAATAGAAAGGGGATGTCCGCATAGACCCTTTCCAGGTGCTCAAACTGTCACAAATGAAGACAAAAGATCTGTCTGGAACTACAATAATTCATTTTGCTTTTTCTGTTAATTTCTATAATTGAAATGATTTCCAAAATGCTTCATAGGAACATACCTTTGTAGAGACAAATTTAACCGCGACATCAAATGGAAAGACAGTTTCTATAGTTACAGTTTCATCCTGTAAGAATTTAAAGGGCACATTCAATGGCTTTTCTAAACTTAAAAATAGTTTTAAAAATAGCAGACATGCAAAACACAATCTGTAACTGATCAAGAAATAATCCCAATTTATATATTAAGAAGCTAGAAGCTTTCCCTCAGATAATATTTATAAAAACCTATAGAGAGAAACCGGACTACAATTTCTAATAAATTATCTTATGGCTTTAAAACAGCTCACACTGCAAAGTGCTTTCTAACACGTTATTTATCTCAGGATCTAGTAAAAGTGGGCAGGACAGGCAATGTCACTATTTTAGAGAGGACGAAGCAGAAGTTAAGGAAGTTTCAATGCTTGGCCTTGGGCCACAAAGCTAATGGTGCCAAGCCTAGAATCTGGGTTTTCTTTTTGTCTAAGTTCTTTACTTCACCTCAAGTCAAGACGACTAATAATAATGATAATGACAATAATAATATTACAGCGCTATAGTCGCTATATATCTAATGCATTATATAATGTTTGTAATAACTCAAGGAAACAGATGCCATTATACTCGCTATTTTAAGCTGAAGTAGTCCCGCATAGCTAGTAAGTGACAAAGGCAGAAACAGACCTGGATCTGACCGTAGGGGTCTGTACTCTTAACCTACACGCTACATCCCTCCCTCAGTCTGTTCAAGAAGCAATGGGCTTACTATGTCTTTGGAAACAAACCACCCACCCTGTTAGTGAGAACCCTTTTTTAAAAATCACGTTGATTTAAAAACTCAGGCTGTGATAATGCCAGGTGGGTTTTAATCCTGGAGGACACATTCCTATTAGCTATGCAGACCTTGGGGTTAGTGAGGTAACCTTGAGGAAGAACCATGGTTTCTGAGTCTCAGTTTCATAATCCTTGTGGGGCTGTTAACAATGAAGTGAGATAACATATATAAAGCACTAGTGAAATGCCTAAACCATGTTCATTATTATCACATACTTCAAATGACTTCCTCTCAATACCATCAAGCTAACTTTTTAAGAAAGTGTAATAAGCAGGATATTAGTGGTAGAAAACGCCTGCATTGGGTCTGTGAATCTAAAGCAGGGCCTCAGTATTTCCCCACAGAAAAGATCTAAGGAAATGAAGAAACAACTCAATGACTAGATCAGATGTGGCCTACTTTAAATTTCCACACATGAAGGTAAAAATGAGATTCAATCCAGTGAAGGGAAAATAATTTACATTTAAATTTCCAAAAATGTCTTACAAGTAACACTGGGACCTGTAAGATAGATATTCCATGAGAAAAGTGCTTCTGTGTACAATAATCTTGAAAGATAATCACCACAGCCTTTTGTGAAATTCTCAACACACATTAGCAAATTCAATGCTGTGCTAAGTCTTAAAGTCAAAATATCCATTTAATACCTCTTAACCCATATTTTCCAAACATATTTGACCAACTCATTCTTTTTTGTGTAACATCTATTTCTATCCCTCAGAATTAGTATCCCTCCCTAAAGTAACTAAAAGACAACCTACTAAACAGGAGAAAATGTTTGCAAATGACCTAGCCAATAAAGGGTTAGTATCCAAGATATATAAAGAGCTTATACAACCCAACACCAAAAAAACCAAATAACCCAATTTAAAAATGGGCAAAAGACATGGACAGAAATTCTCCAAAGAAGACAGACATACAGATGGTCAAAAGACACAGAAATGATGCCCAACATCACTCATCATCAGGGAAATGCAAATCAAAACCACAATGAGATATCTTCTCACATCTGTCAGAATGGCTAAAATAAAAACTCAAGAAACAAGTACTGGCAAGGATGTAGAGAAAACGAAACCCTTGTAGACTGTGGGTGGGAATACAAACTGGCATTGCCCCTGTGGAAAACAGTCTGCAGGTTCCTCAAGAAATTAAAAATGGAATTACCATATGACATAGTAATTCCATTACTGAATATTCATTTACCCAAAGAATATGAAAACACTAATTCAAAAGGATATATGCATCCCTGTGTTCACTGCAGCATTATTTACAATAGCCAAATTGTAGCAGCCCAAATGTCCATCAACAGATAAATGGATAAAAAAGACGGGGTATATATATATATATATATAT